ATACATCTTAGGCGCACCCTTACCTTTTTTATTTGTCTATTGTTTTCCATAATCTAGGGGATTATAGGGGACTCCCCTTTGAGGTGTGCTGCCTTTTTACCATTTTTGTGTGGCAGTTGAGCGCTGATTTTTCCCTTTTTTAATTAAATAATTCTCCCTACTTTGCTCTTCTATCTCTCAACCACACTTAGTTCATGCCTTTCCTACCCTTTAGGCCTTGTTCCCTCCCCATTTCACCTTATCAGATCTCTCTTCATCTGTCTTGTGCTGTCCTTAGAGCATATCTTCAACTGCTCTTTCTTTTGGCATTGTCCCCGCTCCGCTTAAACATGCTACTGTCATACCCATCACTTGACCTGTCTTCCCTTTACAACTATTGTCCCATATCCCTGCCTACTTTCTCCTCAGAGCTCCTTGAACGACTTGTCTTTACCTCTTCAACCCTTTTCAATCTGGCTTCCACCCTTCCAAATCTACTGAGACCGCTCTGATTACAGTAAATAATTATCTAATCATGGCTAAATCCAAAGGCCGCTACTCTATACAAATTTTTCTTGAACTCTCTGCTTTGACACTGTTGATTATGTTCTCCTTCAAACTCTTCAATCCCTTGGTCTCTGTGACACTGTCCAGTTGTGGTTCTCATCCTATCTCTTCCAATAGTCCTTTAGTATCTCCTTTTCTAATGACACTTTCTGTTCTTGGTCCCCTATTTTCCATCTACACAGTCTTTATTGGCAAACGTATTAATGCCTTTGGATTTCTCTACCACCTATATGACACCCAGGTCACCGCTTGCCTTTCTTCCATCTCTAATTAGATGTCATTGTCCATAAAACTGAGCTTCTTATTTTCCTCCTCATAAATCTCATCTTCTTCTTCCACTCTCCCTTCCAAGCTGATTATGCCCTATAGGAGTCAATTCATAAAGCTAACCCTTACATATAAAGCTCTAAACAGCTCTGGTCCTTGTTAAATTTATTCACTAATTCATAGGTATTGCCCCTTCTCAGTCTCTCTGCTCTGCCGGTGACTGCTAACTAGTGCTTGCAAGATTTCTCACCGGCAGCTCCTTTTGTTTGGAACAACCTGCCAACCCCCATTAGACTCTCTCATTCTTCAATCATTTAAAATGTCCCTCAAAACCAATAACTTCAGAATAGCTTATGGCCTCCCAGAGACACTTCTATTTTACAAATCTGTCTCTTGATCTCTCATAAAGTGCCACACTCCACTGTCACCTTCCAGTTCTGCTACTTTCCCACCTTGTTGCTTAGTTGCTATCCCTTCAATGTCCTTCTTGTTTTTAAACCCTACCTCTTCTAGATTTAAAGCTTTTTGATCAGGGTCCTCATCAACCTATTGTTCCTGTAAAATATTTTAATTGTCTCATTTATTGTTTAATTTCTCCTATTATAATATTGGTGCTGAATCTAATAACAAGAAAGGAGCTAATAGAATTACAATTTTTCCTTTCATGGAGCAGATGCACGGATTAATTGCCTTAAATTAGGCCAAATATGTATTTGATTGAGGCCCAAATACACAAGTTTACATTTTAGCTCACCCTGCACTAAAACAGAATTAACATATATTATTTCATATAGAACTAATCTAGGACACAAGGGTTGCCAAAAATCAATATAATGACACGGTCCCCTATGCACTAGAGTTGCAGTAACCAGAAGCAATTTGTTTGGATTTTTCTGGGCCTTGCCAGTGAGGTGAATAAGATATCCTACTAAATGAACAATGGAGCTCAATCAAGGTTACCCTTTTGACTTAGTTTGGCCCTACTTATTAAGAATCCTGCCTGATGAGTTACTGAGAATATGAACCCTGAGCTCTATCCATTTCCCATGAGTTCCAGAGAAGAGGCTTAGTGTTAAGACTGAATTCTTAGACAAGGCAGGCATAATGAACATGACCGAGACAAAGGATTGCACCCATGTAAATATTGCTTCTCTTCTATGATACCAAGATTAGGGTCATTAAATTGGAAGCAGAATACCTATGAAGTGCACATTATTTCTGTGCAAGAAACTTGATGATGTTATTCTTCCCAGAGATTGGTTATTGGGTATGTATATACGTACACCAAATCACCCTCACATTAATATAGACAAATTTCATCTTTGAAGATCAATGATTATTATTATGCTGGCTAAAAGTATAGAACATGCCTGTAACCAATTTTCAGACTCCAAGCTTAGCAATAAAACTAGAACATCATACAAATGGTATTTGAATACAAAGACCCCATTTAAGTGTTACACTGGTGGACCTCTACAACATGACCCCACTATCATATAGTTAATGAAAGTAATATAAGGATATACCCCTAGATTAAGGGGAATAAAACTAGCAGCAATTTCCAGGTTTATTCACTAAAGGAAGAATTGCCTGGAATACGAATGGAATTCAAATAGAATTTCAAATTTATGATCAAAGTAACTGCATTGAAAGCATAGCTGACTTGGTGAATGTTATTTCCAGTAAGGCCCGCGCGTCCTATAGGCTACTTATGCAATTGCCTAGGGCTTACCGGCCCAGGGGGGCGCAAAATTTGAGAGACCCAGCTAAGGGACAGGGGACAGTGACTAAGGGACAGGAGGGGAGAGCACTATGGGACAGGGGGAGTAAAAGAGGCTGAGGAAGGAGTGAAAGTGAAGCACAGAGGGGCTGGTAGGGAAGACAGTCACGCAGAGGGGCTCAGGAGAGAGACACAGTCACTTGTGAGGGAGACACACAGAGGAGCCTGGAGGGAAAAGAGACACACAAAAGAGCTGTGAAGAGTAAGACACAAAGGGGCTTGGGAGAGTAAGACATACAAAGAGGGAGGGGGGCAGTAAGAGACACATAAGGGGCTTGTAAGAGATAAACTAAAGGGGGGTGTAAGACACAAAACTTAAATAAAAAAATATTTAAAAAAAGTATATACAAAATAATAAAGATAAAGAGCTGCTCCCCTCTCAGCCCCTATCCTACCCCACAAACCCTCTCTTTCACACTACACACATACACAATGCACCCTTACACATACATAGAAACACACAATGCATCCCTACTCACACACAGACACACCGAAACATACAATGCATCCTACACTCACACAGAAACACACAATGCAACCATTACATACACACACACACACACACACACAATGTATCCATTACATACAAAAACACACAATGTATCCCTTATGCACACACACACTGCTTCTCTTACACACACAAAGAAACAAAATGTATCTCTTACACACACTCAATGCACCCCTTACAGACACATACACTGCATTACATTACATACACAGAAACACACCTTGCATTCCTTACACATACAAACACAGATTCACACAATGCAACCCTTACACACAGCCAGAAACACACAATGCATTCCGTATACACACACACTACATCCCTTACACAAATTGGTATACCTATACACTACATTCCATAAAAACACACATACATTACATCCTCTACAGTAACACACAACACATCTCCTACACACATATACTTCACTCCCTGTGAGCGAAGTCTAGGGTGGGCCATGTAGGTGGACTTCTGGGCGGGTCTTTTAGGCATACTTACAGTCAGGCTCAGGGGGCCCAGACATTGAGCTGTGTAAAGGGCCCCAAAAACTGAGCTGCTTCCTGTTAATTGATTTTTGTTACAAACAGCCTCCAGACAGCATATTCTACACCAGACCAGTGGAGCCAGACAGCAGCCTGAGACCATCATCATCCTCTTGTCCTCATCTTGACCAGTTACTTTGTAAGTAGGCAACGGTTAGGACATTGTGATGTCACACGGTGGGCAGAACATATGGGGGGAGGGGCGGCAGATTTTTGTTTGCCTAGGGCGGCAAAAATCCTTGCACCGGCCTTGTTTCCAGTTCAGCTTATTTGTGCCTAACTTTGAAATTCAATTTTAATTCAGTAGTGTTTTGTTCTTTATTTATACTATCCCAGTGATCAAGATGAATAAACATAACTTAATATATCCAAGGTAACTTTAGAGTAATTTTTCACCCCAGTACCTTTAATTAATAACCATAATAATTCAGCACATACATATGACTTAATTGTGTTTCCTCTTATGACTATCAGTTATGTGCTCCATCATGAAGTAATGAAGCACAAGTATTGTCAAGTATTGTCAGACACACACACATTCAATAAATGTCCAAAATACTGTGTGCTATATTCTTGTATGTCAGCTTACTGAATTTCTTCATAAATAAAGAAATCCTCGGTTTAATGTGTGACAAACTGACCTTTATTCAGCCATAAGACTTTAGTTTTAACCTGAATAGGCCTTTGTCAAGGTTTGGCATAGACCTATATTTGGTTGAAAACATTGTCAAGTCTCTTTCATGACTGACAAACAATGCTCTGAAGATTTCTTTATTTGTGATAGAAGAATGGCTCCTTCATGACAGTTCATATGCTATGTGTGCTATTTATTACCAGAATTTTGTGATTTTACAATAACTCCTACAAATGATATAATGTATGATAACTACTAAAGTGATGTGTGTAGAATTAACTAAAATATCAATTAGTCTAACAAAACTGAAAACCATAACTCTGGAGTAATTAGACAGGAGGCTTCATATTTGCTTAAGTCTCTCTTTACTAGAACTCCACAGTCCCCTCCCAACCAACTACTATGTCTTTCTTTGCTGCTCCACATTAAGCACAGGTCAGAGTACAACTTCCTCCTGCTTTTATTGGGTGGCATTGGTGATAATTTATTTATAAATATTTATTGGTTTGCGCCTTTGCTGTTATTTTTCTCTGCTAGTGCCTATTTTTGTGGCATTATTGTGCCTGTCCTAGACTTTTGTGTATACATCTCTCCTTCCTAGTCTATTCCCCTTCCTCATTGAAGGGTTTTTTGCTGGTTTTTTCTTCCTTTTCCCCCTGTTCAGTTTTTCCTCATAACTATCTGGTTAATCCTATCTATTTTGTTTTTCTGTTTTCCTCCTTTGGCCAGGTAACGCGGGAGACGGCCTATTTGCTGCCTCCTCCGATTCCCTGTGCGCCGGGGCTTCAGAGTACATCTCCGGCAGCCCCTCGTGGCACCTCGTGGCACCTCATGGTCCCCGTCTTCTGGGACCGTTCTGCCCTAATATCCTCCTTTTCCCCGCCGCCGGGCTGCTTCCGGGTTCGGGCCTGCCACGTGGGAGCTACAGCATCCGATATTAACTTCACTGGCATGTGGGCGCCTCAGGACCGCCCTCGCAACCAGGTTTGGCTCCCGGTCTGGGAGGGTGGAGTGTTGAGGTTTGGGGTGATTGTGGGCTGTCAGACCTTGTGCCCTGGCTTCTGTTTCTACTGCACTCTGCCCCTCTCCACTTGTGCCTCTGCCCAGGCCTGATGTCCCTGTTTATACCCACTGGGATAGATTGACATTTATGCAGACAGACCATTTGATTAGGCTCTGAATAAATCAGAGATAACCAAACTTGTGCATTTGAATCACACAGAGGGGGTAGCCACTAGGCTGGAGGAGCATTTTTTTCCCCTGTATATTGGGACCCAAAATATTTATTGCCCACTCTCAGTATCCAGGTCTGACCTGCCTTAACTGTGCCCCAGGATTGGCCTGCGCTGTCTGTGCCATTGCCACCGGACAACCACCGGTCCGGCTATACATCTAGATATAGATATAATTACTGTACTCTACTGGCCACTGACTGTAGTAGTAGGGTTTTTTTTTTACCAGCTATCCAGCTTGTGACACTTGTACTGTTTTTAAACCTTAGGTGTCAAGCTATAGCCACGACCTGCCCCTACCATGGATCCCGCAACCCAGGAGCAAGGCTTACAGGACATGATTAATGCAGCGTTGGCCGCCTCGGTGGAAAAAGCCCTAGCTAAGGCCCTCCCACAAGAGCCACCAGATAAGGGCATGAGATGAGAGATGCCCCCCATATGGTGGAGGACTCCGCAGGGTCTGATTCTCCCAGGAGAAAACAGACAGGAGCGTCTAAGTGCTATTGGAAGGGTGAAGGCCCTGAGCCGTGCGCCCGGAACAGCAAGGCTCCAGCAAAGTGCCCAAGACAGGGAATCCCAGACTCACCTCTTCACCAGGGACACCTGTCAGATGAGGAGGAGGACTAAGTAAACCCTCCTCCCCTAGCCGTCTTAGACGAATGGCGGACAGACCTGTCACCCTTGGAGGAGGAGGAGGACAGGTGGGGTGCAGATGAGATGGACGGCCCCAGGTGGCCCTGAGAATCTGGAGCCCTTTCTACGCACACGCCTGCTCTCTACGGGTGAGCCCCTATTCGATCCACAATGTATTAGGCACCCCAGGTCCTCTGAATGGTCCTTGCCCAACTGCCTGGATTAATTTGTACCTTACTGGGTCTGCAGACCTCTGGACTGGGAGGTATGGAAGAGGCTAAGGGCGGAATGACACAGACCCACTATTCCAGATAAGGTCCCCACGACCCCGGAATTTGACGCCATGGTCTCCACCTACATGACCCATACATGGCGTGACCCCATACAGGGGTCACGCACAGCCTCCGACTGGCCTCCGACTGGCGCAGGATAAGGTTCTAGATATGTTGGGTCCCCTGGCCAGGATCCTCATGCTGGTGGAAGAGGCCTTCTCACAGGGTGCTGCCCATACGAAACTGGGCCCTGTGCTCCATTTGCCTGCTGGGTAACACCAACATGGCAGAGCATAGGAAGGCAGTCCTCTTGCATATGGAATCCAAACTATCTGATTTGGGTCGAAAGAACTAAGCCCTCTGGCCGAGGGTCTGCTCTTCAGAGAATCCTTTATCAAGCAGCTTCACAGACACGTGAACCTTTACACTACCTTAAAACAAAGTCCAGACATCGATAAAAAGGGTCTTCCGCCCACTCAGCTCACAGGTTTTTGGCAGGGCTGGCCAACTGTGGGGTCGTGTCGCCAGCTGTTTCAGGTCGTCTGGCCATCAAGGATCCCAAGCACCATCCTTCTTCCCTACCTACCGCTCGAGGTCTTTCTACTCCCAGCGGTCGGACCACAGTAGAGGGAGCCGTGCTTGCGGACAGGCAAGGATGCCCACAGATGCCCCTCTTCTTCCAGTTATCTTTCCACTCTGTTGCATGCGGGCAGGTTGTATCACTGCATAGACAAATGGAGGGAGGTTTCCTCAGATGCATGGGTTCTTCAGAGAGTTCAGGGCTAAGTAATACTTTCATTCCATGCTGACAAAGGTCCACCATCCCCCGACCCCCGTGTCATTGCGAGAACGTCAGTCTCTTATAGATGCCGAAATCCAGGCCCTTTTCAGAAAGGGCGCAGTCCAGTGGGCGCCGGACGACAGGGGTTTCCTCTCCTTTTTCCATATTACTGGTATGGAAGAAATCTGGGGAATTTCTCCGGGTCATAAACTTAATGAACCTGAATGCCTTTGTAATTTACCGACACTTTAAGATGGAAGGCATCCATCTGCTGCAGAACCTTCTCCGCCCCTGGGATTGGTTTCCACAACTGGACCTGAAGGACGCCTATCTGTTGGTCTTGGTAGACTCTACATGCCGATGATTTCTCCGATTTCTCTGGAAGGGCAGACCGTGCCAGTTCACCTGCCTACCATTTGGTCTTAGCTTGGCACCAAGGTGTTTCACCAAACAGTTAAAACCGGTGCCGGCACGACTCCAATCCAGGGGTATCCGTTGTATCATCTGCCTGGACGACCTACTATTTTGCGAGAGCCCCTTCAGACTGAAATCTCAGACACTCTTGGCGATCCCCCTATGTTCGAATCGCTGGCCCTCACTCTGACACAGGTGATCGACTTCTTGGATTTTAAAATAGACGCCAAGGAGTACTTCCTTTGCCTTCCTCAGTCCAAGATCACCACCATTCGGAAGGAAATCCGGAGGATACTGCACCAGGACCAGAGTGCTGGCTTGCATGGTAGGCCTCCTCTCCACATCGATCCAGACCATATACCCGAGCCCCTTTCACTACAGGGCCATTCAATACCTGAAGGCCAGCTTCCCGTGCAGGAGACCCTTCTACGACCAAGTGATTCCTCTCACCCCGGATGTCAATATCGAGCTTTGCTGGTGGCTACTTCACATGTTCGCCTGGAACAGAAAAAGGCAATTTTTCGGACTGACCCCGGATTTCGTATTGGAGTCCGACGTGAGCCTTTGAGGCTGTGGAGCCACTTTTGAAACCGGCTCCATGGGAGGCCCCTGGTCAGAATCGGAGATGAAGTACCACATCAATTGCCTGGAACTGATTGCGGGCTCGTTTGCAATACGTAACCTCGTGAACCACCTTTCGGATTGTTGCATGGACAACGTATCAGTGGTGCAATACATCAACCGCCAGGAGGTGCCCACTCCTGGATACTTTCAGAGGTCACAAAGGAAATTTACAGCTTCTGCTTCCAACGCAACATTACTCTCCAGGCGGAGTATCCCCCGGGAGTGTCGAACCTGATAGCAGACTGGTTCTCCAGACATTGGAGGGATGCCAGCGATTGGAGGCTCTATCATCCAGTGTTCCTCGAGAATCAGACCAGACCAGACCAGAGGGGCCCATTCACTGTGGACCTATTCACCTCTAGGACAAACTTCCAGTCCTGTCCTGAGTCCTGCTGCAAGTACATTGTCAACGTGTGTCATTAGTGTTACTAACCCCCCTTTGGCAAGGCCAGGCTTGGTTCCCAGAACTTCTGGAACTTTCACATCAGGACACGCTCCTTCTGCCATCCCCATAGACGCTCCTCTTGGACCCGCGGGGAAAACTAGTTCTCTTGTGGCGGAGGGCCACCTACGCTTAGTGGCCTGGACTCTTTTAGGGGAACCTGGAATGTCGACAACCTATCGCAGTCGGCTGGGAACCTCCTCTGGAACTCCTGGGCTCCTGGGACGAGGAGATGCTACATATCCGCATGAAACATTTGGTGTCGCTGGTACCTGGAACGGAATACCGATCCCTTTACAGCCCCTGTAGACAGTGTTATTGTTTCTGCAGACAGCTTTCAGCTAAATTCGCTCTCCTGCTTTGCCTCATCTCCTTTCGCCGGGTCTCTGATGTTCGGTTGTTCAATGTCGATGGCGTTCTCCTTCTCCCTGGAGGGGGAGACCTTCTCGGTTTCTAGATGTACCAAGTCGGATTCAACGGCTATCTTCTATCCTTATTTCCGGGATTCACCTAAACTCTTTATGGTGGCAGCACTTCACCCTTCTCATTCTGGGCAATTGCTGGTCTCCTCCGTACGACCTCACAAACCAGTCTCTTCTACAACCTTGGTGCGATGGATCAGATGGTTGTTGTCTTTGGCAGGCATGGATTCATCTTTTGGAGCGCATTCAGTGAGGGGCGCAGTAGCATCTGGTGGCTGGCGCATTGCTTCACGACATCCTATGTTAGGCGAATTGGTCTCGAAGACACTTTCCGGCAATTTTATTTCAGACCGGCTGTTCATGCTTCTTTGGCCTTGTTGGCTGAATGTTAAAACAGCAAATATGAAGCCTCCTGTCATGTTATAAAATTGTAGATTATGCCAGCTTTAGTGTACCTATAACATTAATTTTATTAATGACAGGAGGCAAATATTTCCCTACCAGTTTCTGTACCCTACCCTTGTTCTGTTTTGTCGGCTGAGGTGGGTATATCAGTTCTGTTTTATTGGCTGAGGTGGGTATATCAGGTAATTATGCCATTTTGTGGGCTTACTCTTCTGTCGAATATTTGTCTTTTGTTACTTCTGGAATGTTCATGTGGAATTTCTGTTGGTTTTAGTAATGTTTAACCTTTCTCTGGGTGGTTGCATGTTTTTCTAAGTACATTTAGTTTGTTAACTGATTTTTTTTTTGATACCACATTGGAATTCCTTCTCCAGATGACGATCATCAGTTGGATCCATTTGTCTTCCGAGAATACAGTTATATTGTTTCCTTTTGTACCATTGTTTGTTTTGTCGCAGCTTGAAAGAAGAAGTAGTTGGTTGGGAGGGGACTTTTATTGTACATTACTTTTTTCTGATGGGTTGTTTTCTCTCTGTGTTAATGTGCTGCTGTGGAGTTCTAGTAAAGAGAGACTTAAGCAAATATTCACCTCCTACCATTATTACAATTAAGATTATAGGTACACTAAAGCTAGCATAATCTACAATAAGTATAGAGCTGAACTAGCATCTATTTTCCTTCAGTTTCCTAGATATTATTGTTTGGTATTCAGGTGTGCCAGATATTTTTTTTAGTTGTTATGTAGCTTAGATTGCTGCCTTGTATTGGTGTTAGCCCATAACACCACCTTGGTGTTAAATATTTGTCTTTGATGTCAGTCCTCTCCCAGCTGCTTTAATGTGCAGGCTGATATTCACCATTTTGTTTTCAATCATTTTTGGTAGTCAT